TGGTCTCTAGAGCATGCAGCTTGAACCTCGGGTCCAAGATCCAAATGGTTTGGGAGCGACGGCGTTTCAACTTTTGCCCCAAGTACGAGTTTCGTGAGCATTTTCCCATAAAAGCACATGCTCTTCCTACCTTTGTCGCACTTTTCCACCAAGCTGTATGCCATTTGTTTTTGCATGGCTAGTTAGTGCATGGTCTGTAGAGCATGCAGCTTGAACCTCGGGTCCAAGATCCAAATGGTTTGGGAGCGACGGCGTTTCAACTTTTGCCCCAAGTACGAGTTTCGTGAGCATTTTCCCATAAAAGCACATGCTCTTCCTACCTTTGTCGCACTTTTCCACCAAGCTGTATGCCATTTTTTTTGCATGGCTAGTTAGTGCATGGTCTCTAGAGCATGCAGCTTGAACCTCGGGTCCAAGATCCAAATGGTTTGGGAGCGACGGCGTTTCAACTTTTGCCCCAAGTACGAGTTTCGTGAGCATTTTCCCATAAAAGCACATGCTCTTCCTACCTTTGTCGCACTTTTCCACCAAGCTGTATGCCATTTTTTTTTGCATGGCTAGTTAGTGCATGGTCTCTAGAGCATGCAGCTTGAACCTCGGGTCCAAGATCCAAATGGTTTGGGAGCGACGGCGTTTCAACTTTTGCCCCAAGTACGAGTTTCGTGAGCATTTTCCCATAAAAGCACATGCTCTTCCTACCTTTGTCGCACTTTTCCACCAAGCTGTATGCCATTTTTTTTTGCATGGCTAGTTAGTGCATGGTCTCTAGAGCATGCAGCTTGAACCTCGGGTCCAAGATCCAAATGGTTTGGGAGCGACGGCGTTTCAACTTTTGCCCCAAGTACGAGTTTCGTGAGCATTTTCCCATAAAAGCACATGCTCTTCCTACCTTTGTCGCACTTTTCCACCAAGCTGTATGCCATTTTTTTTTGCATGGCTAGTTAGTGCATGGTCTCTAGAGCATGCAGCTTGAACCTCGGGTCCAAGATCCAAATGGTTTGGGAGCGACGGCGTTTCAACTTTTGCCCCAAGTACGAGTTTCGTGAGCATTTTCCCATAAAAGCACATGCTCTTCCTACCTTTGTCGCACTTTTCCACCAAGCTGTATGCCATTTTTTTTTGCATGGCTAGTTAGTGCATGGTCTCTAGAGCATGCAGCTTGAACCTCGGGTCCAAGATCCAAATGGTTTGGGAGCGACGGCGTTTCAACTTTTGCCCCAAGTACGAGTTTCGTGAGCATTTTCCCATAAAAGCACATGCTCTTCCTACCTTTGTCGCACTTTTCCACCAAGCTGTATGCCATTTTTTTTGCATGGCTAGTTAGTGCATGGTCTCTAGAGCATGCAGCTTGAACCTCGGGTCCAAGATCCAAATGGTTTGGGAGCGACGGCGTTTCAACTTTTGCCCCAAGTACGAGTTTCGTGAGCATTTTCCCATAAAAGCACATGCTCTTCCTACCTTTGTCGCACTTTTCCACCAAGCTGTATGCCATTTTTTTTTGCATGGCTAATTAGTGCATGGTCTCTAGAGCATGCAGCTTGAACCTCGGGTCCAAGATCCAAATGGTTTGGGAGCGACGGCGTTTCAACTTTTGCCCCAAGTACGAGTTTCGTGAGCATTTTCCCATAAAAGCACATGCTCTTCCTACCTTTGTCGCACTTTTCCACCAAGCTGTATGCCATTTGTTTTTGCATGGCTAGTTAGTGCATGGTCTCTAGAGCATGCAGCTTGAACCTCGGGTCCAAGATCCAAATGGTTTGGGAGCGACGGCGTTTCAACTTTTGCCCCAAGTACGAGTTTCGTGAGCATTTTCCCATAAAAGCACATGCTCTTCCTACCTTTGTCGCACTTTTCCACCAAGCTGTATGCCATTTTTTTTGCATGGCTAGTTAGTGCATGGTCTCTAGAGCATGCAGCTTGAACCTCGGGTCCAAGATCCAAATGGTTTGGGAGCGACGGCGTTTCAACTTTTGCCCCAAGTACGAGTTTCGTGAGCATTTTCCCATAAAAGCACATGCTCTTCCTACCTTTGTCGCACTTTTCCACCAAGCTGTATGCCATTTTTTTTTGCATGGCTAATTAGTGCATGGTCTCTAGAGCATGCAGCTTGAACCTCGGGTCCAAGATCCAAATGGTTTGGGAGCGACGGCGTTTCAACTTTTGCCCCAAGTACGAGTTTCGTGAGCATTTTCCCATAAAAGCACATGCTCTTCCTACCTTTGTCGCACTTTTCCACCAAGCTGTATGCCATTTTTTTTTGCATGGCTAATTAGTGCATGGTCTCTAGAGCATGCAGCTTGAACCTCGGGTCCAAGATCCAAATGGTTTGGGAGCGACGGCGTTTCAACTTTTGCCCCAAGTACGAGTTTCGTGAGCATTTTCCCATAAAAGCACATGCTCTTCCTACCTTTGTCGCACTTTTCCACCAAGCTGTATGCCATTTGTTTTTGCATGGCTAGTTAGTGCATGGTCTCTAGAGCATGCAGCTTGAACCTCGGGTCCAAGATCCAAATGGTTTGGGAGCGACGGCGTTTCAACTTTTGCCCCAAGTACGAGTTTCGTGAGCATTTTCCCATAAAAGCACATGCTCTTCCTACCTTTGTCGCACTTTTCCACCAAGCTGTATGCCATTTTTTTTTGCATGGCTAATTAGTGCATGGTCTCTAGAGCATGCAGCTTGAACCTCGGGTCCAAGATCCAAATGGTTTGGGAGCGACGGCGTTTCAACTTTTGCCCCAAGTACGAGTTTCGTGAGCATTTTCCCATAAAAGCACATGCTCTTCCTACCTTTGTCGCACTTTTCCACCAAGCTGTATGCCATTTGTTTTTGCATGGCTAGTTAGTGCATGGTCTCTAGAGCATGCAGCTTGAACCTCGGGTCCAAGATCCAAATGGTTTGGGAGCGACGGCGTTTCAACTTTTGCCCCAAGTACGAGTTTCGTGAGCATTTTCCCATAAAAGCACATGCTCTTCCTACCTTTGTCGCACTTTTCCACCAAGCTGTATGCCATTTTTTTTTGCATGGCTAGTTAGTGCATGGTCTCTAGAGCATGCAGCTTGAACCTCGGGTCCAAGATCCAAATGGTTTGGGAGCGACGGCGTTTCAACTTTTGCCCCAAGTACGAGTTTCGTGAGCATTTTCCCATAAAAGCACATGCTCTTCCTACCTTTGTCGCACTTTTCCACCAAGCTGTATGCCATTTTTTTTGCATGGCTAGTTAGTGCATGGTCTCTAGAGCATGCAGCTTGAACCTCGGGTCCAAGATCCAAATGGTTTGGGAGCGACGGCGTTTCAACTTTTGCCCCAAGTACGAGTTTCGTGAGCATTTTCCCATAAAAGCACATGCTCTTCCTACCTTTGTCGCACTTTTCCACCAAGCTGTATGCCATTTTTTTTGCATGGCTAGTTAGTGCATGGTCTCTAGAGCATGCAGCTTGAACCTCGGGTCCAAGATCCAAATGGTTTGGGAGCGACGGCGTTTCAACTTTTGCCCCAAGTACGAGTTTCGTGAGCATTTTCCCATAAAAGCACATGCTCTTCCTACCTTTGTCGCACTTTTCCACCAAGCTGTATGCCATTTTTTTTTGCATGGCTAGTTAGTGCATGGTCTCTAGAGCATGCAGCTTGAACCTCGGGTCCAAGATCCAAATGGTTTGGGAGCGACGGCGTTTCAACTTTTGCCCCAAGTACGAGTTTCGTGAGCATTTTCCCATAAAAGCACATGCTCTTCCTACCTTTGTCGCACTTTTCCACCAAGCTGTATGCCATTTTTTTTGCATGGCTAGTTAGTGCATGGTCTCTAGAGCATGCAGCTTGAACCTCGGGTCCAAGATCCAAATGGTTTGGGAGCGACGGCGTTTCAACTTTTGCCCCAAGTACGAGTTTCGTGAGCATTTTCCCATAAAAGCACATGCTCTTCCTACCTTTGTCGCACTTTTCCACCAAGCTGTATGCCATTTTTTTTTGCATGGCTAGTTAGTGCATGGTCTCTAGAGCATGCAGCTTGAACCTCGGGTCCAAGATCCAAATGGTTTGGGAGCGACGGCGTTTCAACTTTTGCCCCAAGTACGAGTTTCGTGAGCATTTTCCCATAAAAGCACATGCTCTTCCTACCTTTGTCGCACTTTTCCACCAAGCTGTATGCCATTTTTTTTGCATGGCTAGTTAGTGCATGGTCTGTAGAGCATGCAGCTTGAACCTCGGGTCCAAGATCCAAATGGTTTGGGAGCGACGGCGTTTCAACTTTTGCCCCAAGTACGAGTTTCGTGAGCATTTTCCCATAAAAGCACATGCTCTTCCTACCTTTGTCGCACTTTTCCACCAAGCTGTATGCCATTTTTTTTGCATGGCTAGTTAGTGCATGGTCTCTAGAGCATGCAGCTTGAACCTCGGGTCCAAGATCCAAATGGTTTGGGAGCGACGGCGTTTCAACTTTTGCCCCAAGTACGAGTTTCGTGAGCATTTTCCCATAAAAGCACATGCTCTTCCTACCTTTGTCGCACTTTTCCACCAAGCTGTATGCCATTTTTTTTGCATGGCTAGTTAGTGCATGGTCTGTAGAGCATGCAGCTTGAACCTCGGGTCCAAGATCCAAATGGTTTGGGAGCGACGGCGTTTCAACTTTTGCCCCAAGTACGAGTTTCGTGAGCATTTTCCCATAAAAGCACATGCTCTTCCTACCTTTGTCGCACTTTTCCACCAAGCTGTATGCCATTTTTTTTGCATGGCTAGTTAGTGCATGGTCTCTAGAGCATGCAGCTTGAACCTCGGGTCCAAGATCCAAATGGTTTGGGAGCGACGGCGTTTCAACTTTTGCCCCAAGTACGAGTTTCGTGAGCATTTTCCCATAAAAGCACATGCTCTTCCTACCTTTGTCGCACTTTTCCACCAAGCTGTATGCCATTTTTTTGCATGCTATTAGTGCATGTCTTAGAGCATGCTGTTGTGTGATGTCATCATATGCTATCACATTCTGTCTGCCTCCCATCCCTTGTTTCAATTCGCATGTATGGTTTGACTGTGTGTGAAAGAATTTGTGTGGTGTGTTCTGGAGTTTGGGAATGTGTTTTGTGTTATTCTGTTTGAGCAGGTATTTGTGATGATAGATCTTGAGAAGATCTTTCCGACGCAACAAGAATCGCTTCAATCGGAGCAAGAACGCGAAAGCTATGAAGATTCAAAGTTCATGAGCTTGCGTTACAATTGCGGCGGTTACTAAGTGAAGTTGTGGGGTGACTTTATATGGAGTTGGGACCTTTGGGGTTGGGGAAACTTGTCACTCTACTGTAACAGCTGCAAATTGGTTGGGAACAACCAAGCTAGGTTGGCAAGGGTGGCCAACTTGGATGGATTGGTTGGGAAGGGACAAAGGTCAAAGTTGAGGTTCCTATAGGGAGGGAATCTTTGTGCTTATGGGGTTTCCTTGGTTGGGGACTCTCTTGGGACCTTCCCTCTCATCCCTCTCTTCCTATCCCAACCTTTCTCTTGCTCCTTCTAATTCCTTGTGAGATTCTTGAACTTTGATTGAACCTTTGAGATTGAGTTAAGTTCTCCTCCTACAGCTTACCCCCTAGTGCGTCGAAAGCCATAGCGTCGCGAATACTTCATCAATCAACATGATTCAAATTGGGAACGGTAGCTGAGATTAAGAGCTACAACATATCCAAGTTTCGCGACATTCCAACGGCTAGTTTTTCGTCGACGTCGTTTCTTGTGAAGACGACTTTTCTGTCCAGAATTTCGGATTTATATTTTGAGTAATTCTAGCTCCTAAGTTCACCTAGACTCCGTCCTTAATCCTAACAAGTGGTATCAGAGCTGTATTAAGGACGTTGAGAGGAGTCTACAGAAGTGTGAAGACCCTTCTAGACCCACCATGGCCTGTGGGTGTGCCTAAGTGGTGTTCTAAAGGTTGGATGTGTCTTCCGCTAAGGGAAACTCTGCCGAAATTTCGTGGACGCCGACACTTGTGAAAATATCGAGGGAGCTGAGTGTGGACAGCAAAGGGGGGCTGAAATTCGTCATTTCTCAAGGAGAAGATGAATGAGAGAGGAGGAGATGCTAATGGAAGAGGAGCTGTAGCTGAGAAGACAAGTGAGCCGCCGCCATCAAAAGTTGAAGCTTTGGATGGCTCCAACTATGAGGAATGGAGCGGACGGATGAGGAGTGCCTTCAAACGCTACAAGCTACTGAAGATTGCTGTTGGGGAAGAGAAGATGCCGGAAGAAGGCGAAGCACGTGAACGGTGGATTGAGAAAAGCGCGGTGCTTTTCGACCTCATCCTTCAATCGGTCAACAAGGAGATGTTCGAGCACATCAAGGATCTTGTGGAAGCGGATGATTCGGGTCCAAGGGCGTGGAAACTACTACGCGATGTGATTCAGCCCAACACTCTCCGATGGTGATCGTGCTCGAGAAGGAACTTGCTGCCATCTCCATGCGACCAGGGGACGATGTGAAGCCGGTCCTTGACAAGATCAAGGACACCTATGCAAGGATGGCAGCAGCGGGCAGCAGTGTATCTCAGCTGCAGCAGTGCACCAAGATCATCTCGGTGTTGGACAACTCGTGGGACAACCTCATCCCCACCCTCAACTCTCAGCAAGATCAATGGACACCTGAGTGGCTAAGGCAGCAGATTCTGCAGGAGGACTTCCGCAGACGCCATGTGGGAGGCGGTGCTGCCACTAAGACTGCTGAGGGGTATGGAGCTGCAGGGCGCGGCAGAGGAAGAGGGGGTTGGAGAGGCCGAGGCCGTGGGAGGAGCTTTGGCAGAGGTAGAGGCCGAGGTGACTATAATGAGGGGCATGGGAGCTCCAGTGGCAGGGGGAGTACCAGAATGGAGGGCACCTGCTGGTACTGCAAGAAGGTCGGGCATCCTTGGTTCAAGTGCTTCAGCAGGCCGGAGGGATGGGCACCTCCAGGCATGAAGCCGCCAGTGGTGAACGCGCACAAGGTGGCGCTGTGCAAGGCTCAGGTGCACAAGGTGAAGGTGCACAAGGTAATGCCTATCCTGGGATGTTTCTCATGGTTGAGGATGTGCATGGGCATGAGGGTGATGTGGGATCTGTGGGAAAGGTTGTGATGCACCCTCTCACGCACTGGGTGATTGATTCGGGTTGCACCAGTCACATGACCCCACGGGCAGATTTGCTTGATGAGGTAAAACCCCCTGGGAAGATCAAGTATGTGGCAGCAGCGTCAGGTGCTTTGCTCCCTGTCATTGGTGTTGGAATGCCAAGGTTAAGGGAGCTAATGGGGAGCTTGTGGGGCTTGGGAATGTTCTGCTGGTTGAAGGCTTGTCTGCTAACCTTCTCTCTGTGCGACGACTGCAGAAGAGCAAGGCCGAAGTGACCTTTGGACCAACCAGCTGCCGTGCTAAGCTTGGGAAGAAGGTGCTGTGGAGTCTGGAAGAGGAGACCAGCTGCATCAAGGACCTGTGGCAGCTGCCCATCATCCCATGGAATGGGAAGACTCCAACAGCAGCAACGGCAGCAGCGGCAAAGGCAACAGCAGGAGGAGATGCAACTGCACCAACTGATGGGGTCCTGGAAGCAGTCAAGAAAGTGCAGCAGCAGCAGACACATGGTGAGGTGCTTGCTGGTGTGGATGCGAGTGCGGCATGGGCTAAGGCTTCATCAAGGAGTGGAGAGGCCGATTGGGAGACATGGCATGAGAGGCTGTGTCATGTGAACTTCCCTATGCTGCAGAAGTTGGTGAAGGATGGGAGCCTGAAGGGCTTGGAGGTGAAAGGGGGAGTGAAGGAGATTGGGAGCTGCCCTACATGCTTGGAGACCAAGTTCTCCAAGTTCCCCTTCAACAGCACTACAGGACCAGCCAAGACCCCACTTGCACTTGTGCACATGGATGTGGTGGGGCCCACAAGAGCCCCTTCCCTCTCAGGCAGCCGCTATTTCTTGACAATTGTGGATGACCACACTCGGGCAGTGTGGGTTTACCCTTTGAAGAGCAAGGGGGAGGTGGCAGCGGCTGTCCTTAAGGAGTGGATGCCTAGAGCTCAGAGGGAATGCGGACACAAGGTGAAGGTGATCCGCAGTGACAATGGTGGGGAGTTCATTGGAGCTGATTTTGAGGGGGAGTTGAAGAGGAAGGGGATCCAACATCAACTGACAGTGCCCTACAACCCGCAGCAGAATGGCGTGGCTGAGAGGTTCAACAGGACCCTGCAGGAGGGGGCACGCACTCTCCTTGGGCGTGCAGGGCTGCCTGATCCGTTTTGGGTGTCTGCACTGAGGCAGGTCGCCCTTGTGAAGAACAGGGTGCTGGCTACAGTTGGAGATAAGGAGTGGATCCCATATACCAAGTGGTATGGGAGTGCTCCAGCTGTGAACATGCTGAGGGCATTTGGGTGCATGGTGGTGTTTCATGTGCCTAAGGAGAAAAGGGGGAAGTTGGAGGCTTCTGGAAGATGGGGTGTGCACTTGGGGATTGCAAAGGATCACAAGGGGTGGCTGCTATGGGACTTGACCACCCAGAAGTTGACAGTGTCAAGGGATGTGAAGTTTCTTGAGTCCCTGTACTACAAGGAATGGAAGCAGCAGCAACAGAAGCTTCCATCTACACCGCTCATTGTGGAGGCAGATGAGGTGCAGCAGCCTTCAAGACAGGTGGAGGTTGCAGTGTCAGAGGAGGAGATGTCTGGGGTGACTGAGGAAGGGGGAGCAGCTGAAGTAGGAGCAGCAGCAGCAGCAGCATGAGTCTCCACCTCGAGTTCCACACCCGCCTGAGCGACCTAGGAGGGATGTGCGCCCTCCGTGAGGCTGACCTATGGGGGAAGAGGCAAGCCGAATGTGGTGCAGGCTGGGAGTGTGGTTGAGCAGATTGAGGAAGATGAGATCGCTCACTGCTACTGGGCACCAATCCCTGAGCCCAAGACTCGAGAGGAGGCTTTGAATGGACCAAATGGGGAGAAGTGGAAGGCGAGTGAGGATGAGGAGTTCGGGTCCCTAATTGAGAACGAGACATGGGACCTGTGTGACTTGCCTCCTGGAAAGAAGGCAATCACTTCCAAGATGATCTACAGGCACAAGTATGGACCTGAAGGGGAGCTGACCCGCTACAAGTCTAGGCTTGTGGCACGGGGGTTTCAGCAGACAAAGGGGAAGGACTATGATGAGGTGTTTGCTCCTGTGGGGAAAGGAACAACACTGAGGGTGCTGTTGGCGATAGCTGCACTCCTGGGATGGAAGATACGGCAGATGGACATTGTGACTGCCTTTCTGAATGGGATCATTATGGAGGAGGTGTACATGAAGCAGCCAGAGGGGCTGGATGATGGGAGCGGCAGGGTCTGCAGGCTGAAGAAGGCCATCTATGGCCTTAAGCAGGCGCCTCGTGCATGGTATCACAAGTTGGAGGAGGCGCTGTTGGCTGGGGGTTTCAAGAAGAGTGAGTGTGACCCCAGCCTGTTCCTGCTGCAGGAGAAGGATGAAATCCTCATGCTCTTGGTGTATGTGGATGATATCCTTCTCTTTTCTGCATCCACTGCTTTGCTGGACAGCGCAGAGCAGATGCTGGAGATGCAGTTCAAGTGCTCCAAGATGGGTGAGGTGAAGTACTACTTGGGGATGCACGTGGAGAGAGATGTGGAGAAGGGTGTGCTGAGGTTGCACCAGAGGAAGTACTGTGAGGGGCTGGCTGAGAAGTATGGGCTGCAAGATGGGGGAAAGCCAGCAACACCACTACCTTCGGGGTTTACTGTGGAGCCATGTGCTGATGAGGAGGTAGTGGGTGATAGTGACAGGAAGCTGTTTCATTCGATGGTTGGGTCGCTGAATTATGCTGCAAATCATACACGGCCTGACATTGCATTTGCTACATCACGATTGGCTAGTGTGGTCTCACGCCCTAGTCATGAGCAGCTGGAAGCGGCCAAGAGGTTGGTCCGCTATGTGAGTGCTACGGCATCAGTGGGATTGGAGTACAGTGGAGTGAGGCAGCGGTTGCAGAGAGGTGCTGCAGATGTGAAGAGTGGAGAGATGCTCTTGAGTTGCTATACTGACGCTAGCTTCAACTCAGTGAAAGCGGATGGCACCAGCATTGGGGGTTATGTGTGCTTGCTAGGAGGTGGTGCTGTGAGCTGGCGCAGCAAGAAGCAGAATGAGGTGGGATTGTCCTCATGTGAGACTGAGTACATGGCCTTACACCATGGGGCCAAGGAAGTAGTGTGGCTAAGGCGTTTGTTGGAGGAGTTGGGAGTTGGTCAGGAGGAGCCGACAGTTGTGTTTTGTGACAATGAGTCCGCTGTGAAGCTCGCCAAGAATGCTTGTCTGCATGGGCTGACAAAACACATAAGGCCTAAGTGGCATTGGGTGAGGAGACTCCTTGATAAGGAGGTGCGGCTGGAGATAGTGAAGACCCATCAGCAGGCAGCAGATATTTTCACCAAGCGTCTGGCGGAGGCGGATCATTGGAAGGGCATGAAGCTTGCTGGGATGAGTGTGCATTGAGTATGCATGCTTGAGATGTGGTATGGTGGATGATGGTTGGCAGCCAGAGGGGGAGATTGTTGTGTGATGTCATCATATGCTATCACATTCTGTCTGCCTCCCATCCCTTGTTTCAATTGCATGTGTGGTTTGACTGTGGTGAAAGAATTTGTGTGGTGTGTGTTCTGGAGTTTGGGAATGTGTTTTGTGTTATTCTGTTTGAGCAGGTATTTGTGATGATAGATCTTGAGAAGATCTTTCCGACGCAACAAGAATCGCTTCAATCGGAGCAAGAACGCGAAAGCTATGAAGATTCAAAGTTCATGAGCTTGCGTTACAATTGCGGCGGTTACTAAGTGAAGTTGTGGGGTGACTTTATATGGAGTTGGGACCTTTGGGGTTGGGGAAACTTGTCACTCTACTGTAACAGCTGCAAATTGGTTGGGAACAACCAAGCTAGGTTGGCAAGGGTGGCCAACTTGGATGGATTGGTTGGGAAGGGACAAAGGTCAAAGTTGAGGTTCCTATAGGGAGGGAATCTTTGTGCTTATGGGGTTTCCTTGGTTGGGGACTCTCTTGGGACCTTCCCTCTCATCCCTCTCTTCCTATCCCAACCTTTCTCTTGCTCCTTCTAATTCCTTGTGAGATTCTTGAACTTTGATTGAACCTTTGAGATTGAGTTAAGTTCTCCTCCTACAGCTTACCCCCTAGTGCGTCGAAAGCCATAGCGTCGCGAATACTTCATCAATCAACGTGATTCAAATTGGGAACGGTAGCTGAGATTAAGAGCTACAACATATCCAAGTTTCGCGACATTCCAACGGCTAGTTTTTGTCGACGTCGTTTCTTGTGAAGACGACTTTTCTGTCCAGAATTTCGGATTTATATTTTGAGTAATTCTAGCTCCTAAGTTCACCTAGACTCCGTCCTTAATCCTAACATGCACTGAACCTCGGTCCAAGATCCAAAGGTTTGGGAGCGACGGCGTTTCAACTTTTGCCCAAGTACGAGTTTCGTGAGCATTTTCCATAAAAGCACATGCTCTTCCTACCTTTGTCGCACTTTTCCACCAAGCTGTATGCCATTTTTTTTGCATGGCTAGTTAGTGCATGGTCTGTAGAGCATGCAGCTTGAACCTCGGGTCCAAGATCCAAATGGTTTGGGAGCGACGGCGTTTCAACTTTTGCCCCAAGTACGAGTTTCGTGAGCATTTTCCCATAAAAGCACATGCTCTTCCTACCTTTGTCGCACTTTTCCACCAAGCTGTATGCCATTTTTTTTGCATGGCTAGTTAGTGCATGGTCTCTAGAGCATGCAGCTTGAACCTCGGGTCCAAGATCCAAATGGTTTGGGAGCGACGGCGTTTCAACTTTTGCCCCAAGTACGAGTTTCGTGAGCATTTTCCCATAAAAGCACATGCTCTTCCTACCTTTGTCGCACTTTTCCACCAAGCTGTATGCCATTTTTTTTGCATGGCTAGTTAGTGCATGGTCTCTAGAGCATGCAGCTTGAACCTCGGGTCCAAGATCCAAATGGTTTGGGAGCGACGGCGTTTCAACTTTTGCCCCAAGTACGAGTTTCGTGAGCATTTTCCCATAAAAGCACATGCTCTTCCTACCTTTGTCGCACTTTTCCACCAAGCTGTATGCCATTTTTTTTGCATGGCTAGTTAGTGCATGGTCTCTAGAGCATGCAGCTTGAACCTCGGGTCCAAGATCCAAATGGTTTGGGAGCGACGGCGTTTCAACTTTTGCCCCAAGTACGAGTTTCGTGAGCATTTTCCCATAAAAGCACATGCTCTTCCTACCTTTGTCGCACTTTTCCACCAAGCTGTATGCCATTTTTTTTTGCATGGCTAATTAGTGCATGGTCTCTAGAGCATGCAGCTTGAACCTCGGGTCCAAGATCCAAATGGTTTGGGAGCGACGGCGTTTCAACTTTTGCCCCAAGTACGAGTTTCGTGAGCATTTTCCCATAAAAGCACATGCTCTTCCTACCTTTGTCGCACTTTTCCACCAAGCTGTATGCCATTTTTTTTGCATGGCTAGTTAGTGCATGGTCTCTAGAGCATGCAGCTTGAACCTCGGGTCCAAGATCCAAATGGTTTGGGAGCGACGGCGTTTCAACTTTTGCCCCAAGTACGAGTTTCGTGAGCATTTTCCCATAAAAGCACATGCTCTTCCTACCTTTGTCGCACTTTTCCACCAAGCTGTATGCCATTTTTTTTTGCATGGCTAGTTAGTGCATGGTCTCTAGAGCATGCAGCTTGAACCTCGGGTCCAAGATCCAAATGGTTTGGGAGCGACGGCGTTTCAACTTTTGCCCCAAGTACGAGTTTCGTGAGCATTTTCCCATAAAAGCACATGCTCTTCCTACCTTTGTCGCACTTTTCCACCAAGCTGTATGCCATTTTTTTTTGCATGGCTAGTTAGTGCATGGTCTCTAGAGCATGCAGCTTGAACCTCGGGTCCAAGATCCAAATGGTTTGGGAGCGACGGCGTTTCAACTTTTGCCCCAAGTACGAGTTTCGTGAGCATTTTCCCATAAAAGCACATGCTCTTCCTACCTTTGTCGCACTTTTCCACCAAGCTGTATGCCATTTTTTTTTGCATGGCTAGTTAGTGCATGGTCTCTAGAGCATGCAGCTTGAACCTCGGGTCCAAGATCCAAATGGTTTGGGAGCGACGGCGTTTCAACTTTTGCCCCAAGTACGAGTTTCGTGAGCATTTTCCCATAAAAGCACATGCTCTTCCTACCTTTGTCGCACTTTTCCACCAAGCTGTATGCCATTTTTTTTTGCATGGCTAGTTAGTGCATGGTCTCTAGAGCATGCAGCTTGAACCTCGGGTCCAAGATCCAAATGGTTTGGGAGCGACGGCGTTTCAACTTTTGCCCCAAGTACGAGTTTCGTGAGCATTTTCCCATAAAAGCACATGCTCTTCCTACCTTTGTCGCACTTTTCCACCAAGCTGTATGCCATTTTTTTTGCATGGCTAGTTAGTGCATGGTCTCTAGAGCATGCAGCTTGAACCTCGGGTCCAAGATCCAAATGGTTTGGGAGCGACGGCGTTTCAACTTTTGCCCCAAGTACGAGTTTCGTGAGCATTTTCCCATAAAAGCACATGCTCTTCCTACCTTTGTCGCACTTTTCCACCAAGCTGTATGCCATTTTTTTTGCATGGCTAGTTAGTGCATGGTCTCTAGAGCATGCAGCTTGAACCTCGGGTCCAAGATCCAAATGGTTTGGGAGCGACGGCGTTTCAACTTTTGCCCCAAGTACGAGTTTCGTGAGCATTTTCCCATAAAAGCACATGCTCTTCCTACCTTTGTCGCACTTTTCCACCAAGCTGTATGCCATTTTTTTTTGCATGGCTAGTTAGTGCATGGTCTCTAGAGCATGCAGCTTGAACCTCGGGTCCAAGATCCAAATGGTTTGGGAGCGACGGCGTTTCAACTTTTGCCCCAAGTACGAGTTTCGTGAGCATTTTCCCATAAAAGCACATGCTCTTCCTACCTTTGTCGCACTTTTCCACCAAGCTGTATGCCATTTTTTTTTGCATGGCTAGTTAGTGCATGGTCTCTAGAGCATGCAGCTTGAACCTCGGGTCCAAGATCCAAATGGTTTGGGAGCGACGGCGTTTCAACTTTTGCCCCAAGTACGAGTTTCGTGAGCATTTTCCCATAAAAGCACATGCTCTTCCTACCTTTGTCGCACTTTTCCACCAAGCTGTATGCCATTTTTTTTTGCATGGCTAGTTAGTGCATGGTCTCTAGAGCATGCAGCTTGAACCTCGGGTCCAAGATCCAAATGGTTTGGGAGCGACGGCGTTTCAACTTTTGCCCCAAGTACGAGTTTCGTGAGCATTTTCCCATAAAAGCACATGCTCTTCCTACCTTTGTCGCACTTTTCCACCAAGCTGTATGCCATTTTTTTTTGCATGGCTAGTTAGTGCATGGTCTCTAGAGCATGCAGCTTGAACCTCGGGTCCAAGATCCAAATGGTTTGGGAGCGACGGCGTTTCAACTTTTGCCCCAAGTACGAGTTTCGTGAGCATTTTCCCATAAAAGCACATGCTCTTCCTACCTTTGTCGCACTTTTCCACCAAGCTGTATGCCATTTTTTTTTGCATGGCTAGTTAGTGCATGGTCTCTAGAGCATGCAGCTTGAACCTCGGGTCCAAGATCCAAATGGTTTGGGAGCGACGGCGTTTCAACTTTTGCCCCAAGTACGAGTTTCGTGAGCATTTTCCCATAAAAGCACATGCTCTTCCTACCTTTGTCGCACTTTTCCACCAAGCTGTATGCCATTTTTTTTTGCATGGCTAGTTAGTGCATGGTCTCTAGAGCATGCAGCTTGAACCTCGGGTCCAAGATCCAAATGGTTTGGGAGCGACGGCGTTTCAACTTTTGCCCCAAGTACGAGTTTCGTGAGCATTTTCCCATAAAAGCACATGCTCTTCCTACCTTTGTCGCACTTTTCCACCAAGCTGTATGCCATTTTTTTTTGCATGGCTAGTTAGTGCATGGTCTCTAGAGCATGCAGCTTGAACCTCGGGTCCAAGATCCAAATGGTTTGGGAGCGACGGCGTTTCAACTTTTGCCCCAAGTACGAGTTTCGTGAGCATTTTCCCATAAAAGCACATGCTCTTCCTACCTTTGTCGCACTTTTCCACCAAGCTGTATGCCATTTTTTTTTGCATGGCTAGTTAGTGCATGGTCTCTAGAGCATGCAGCTTGAACCTCGGGTCCAAGATCCAAATGGTTTGGGAGCGACGGCGTTTCAACTTTTGCCCCAAGTACGAGTTTCGTGAGCATTTTCCCATAAAAGCACATGCTCTTCCTACCTTTGTCGCACTTTTCCACCAAGCTGTATGCCATTTTTTTTTGCATGGCTAGTTAGTGCATGGTCTCTAGAGCATGCAGCTTGAACCTCGGGTCCAAGATCCAAATGGTTTGGGAGCGACGGCGTTTCAACTTTTGCCCCAAGTACGAGTTTCGTGAGCATTTTCCCATAAAAGCACATGCTCTTCCTACCTTTGTCGCACTTTTCCACCAAGCTGTATGCCATTTTTTTTGCATGGCTAGTTAGTGCATGGTCTCTAGAGCATGCAGCTTGAACCTCGGGTCCAAGATCCAAATGGTTTGGGAGCGACGGCGTTTCAACTTTTGCCCCAAGTACGAGTTTCGTGAGCATTTTCCCATAAAAGCACATGCTCTTCCTACCTTTGTCGCACTTTTCCACCAAGCTGTATGCCATTTTTTTTTGCATGGCTAGTTAGTGCATGGTCTCTAGAGCATGCAGCTTGAACCTCGGGTCCAAGATCCAAATGGTTTGGGAGCGACGGCGTTTCAACTTTTGCCCCAAGTACGAGTTTCGTGAGCATTTTCCCATAAAAGCACATGCTCTTCCTACCTTTGTCGCACTTTTCCACCAAGCTGTATGCCATTTTTTTTTGCATGGCTAGTTAGTGCATGGTCTCTAGAGCATGCAGCTTGAACCTCGGGTCCAAGATCCAAATGGTTTGGGAGCGACGGCGTTTCAACTTTTGCCCCAAGTACGAGTTTCGTGAGCATTTTCCCATAAAAGCACATGCTCTTCCTACCTTTGTCGCACTTTTCCACCAAGCTGTATGCCATTTTTTTTTGCATGGCTAGTTAGTGCATGGTCTCTAGAGCATGC